CCTCAATTCAAGAAACCGTCCTTTTCCTTATCACACCATTCCATAACATAATTTTCAAACATAGGTATCCTCCCCACAAAAAAAAACTGAAGCAGTTTCCTTCGGCTCCAATGCGCCGCTCGCCCAGGGAGACGGAAGTGTTATATTCTCGGCGGTCCAGTCTGCATTCTGCAGCACAATTAAATTTGGCGGACCCCCAGCGCACGACTGAACGATTCGTATTGTTGTGAGTGACTGTGACGACAGCAAATGAATTCACTGGTGGTTTCGGAATAATTAACAGGCGGCGCAGCCCAGTGCCTCTTACAATGAATTACAGTGGCGAATGCACTATTGCAGAGAAGAAATGGATTGAGCAGATGCCCAACCTCGCTGTATTAGGTATCAACTAAACATTAGATACGCTTTACATTTTAATCAGGCAATCATGGAAACAAACGACTTGCGAGTCGCGACCCTTCCACCTTACATTACTCGGCAGAATGTCCCTGAGTCGGCTAATCTACACTGCATCTCTTCAAACCCTAAGTATTTTACAATTTACCACTCAGCTATGCAACAGGCTTATAATTCACTGCTAAAGTCTCAACTCCTTTTCCCCTATCATCTTTTTGGCACCGTCAATCGCCATCTGCGCTGCCCACTGTCCAGCAAATAATCCGGCCGTCTCCAATCCTCTGGCAGGGGCTTCCAAACTCAAGCGAACTCGCCGAAGTTTCGCCATTCAATGCGCAGGATCTGTACAATTGAGTTTGAGAGCCTCTGGGTTGGCTCGGCGCGCCTGCGCTGCGCCGTTGGTCCGGCCAAGTAGGCGAGTGACGTCATGCTATAAGCGTCATCCCCCGACCAAAGTCACCAATCAGAGCCCTAGAATCGACTTGTAGTTCCACACTTAGGTAACTCGCGTCCGGGGCGGCGGTGGGTCTGGCCCGACCACCCCGGCGCAGCCCGCATGATTGACGAGAGGTGGCACAGAGTGGGACAGAGTTGGGAGAGCGGAGACCGGCGCTGCGCGCGCTCCTCTGTCTCACCGGCCGGCCACCGGCACCGAGGCACGACGTAAAAAGGTGTCAATAACCCGCTTTCCGTGTACCTGTCCTGATTATCTGAATTCTGAAGTAAGCATTCTTTGTCAACATTGCGAGCGCATGACGAAAATGTTGGGAAATAACCCGTAACCGTTTAAGCGAACACCCGACAAATTACGAAGACCGGTTCTCGAAACGATTGGCGCCCACAAAAGTCGAATCAAAGAACCACTTCCTCTCCCTTTTAGGAAGGTGAGAGCGTTGTAAAATGAACTACTGCTTGTCGCCACTCACAACTCGCACACTGACAACTAAGGACCATCCCAGTCTAGCCCAGCGGCCGCGGCTATACCACCTATTCCCGGCCCGATGAACACACACATTTATCAGTGTTTGGACAGACAGCCCCCTACCCGTTCTGAGGGGACCTGGACTGCAGACAGGGCCGTATGTGGAACCACCATCATCGGAGAATCACGGTAATTAATTATCGTCATCATCTGACCGGCGCTCCTCTCTGGCGCCGGGTCCGGAGGGAGGGAGGGAGGGGAGGAAAGACATCCGTCGCATGGAATATCCACACACTCGCACGTCCATAACGAAAAATAAAGAATACGGCAAAAGTGATTTCTCCTTGTTATTGTTTGGTTTTGTTGGTTTAGGCCCTTTCGGTCCAATGAGACCATATCAGAGCCGGAAGGATAATATGAATTAGGGGGAGACATTGGTCTGGGCAGGCTAGGGAGACGCCGGGGCTGAGCCCGTCCGTTAGAACAGGCCACCTAGCCCCCCCCCCTCCCCCAGCACTCCCTGCACCCGGTTATGGGGCTCCCTTCGGAGCTGCGGTGCGCCCCAAGGGAGCAGCCCGCATGGGATAAAGTTGCCTGTCCAGCCCGGAAGGGGGGGGGGGGGGGGGTTGCGGCGTGAAGATAGATACGATGGAACGGGTGTCATTTTAGTGTGCCACCTTTGAAAGATTTCCCATTTTATTTTTCCTAGGATAAGAAGCTTCTGTTTTTACCTAATATCGCAAAAAAAATCAAAAATGGGCCTGGAATAGTGCCTTTTTCGCCTTAAAGTTTATCGGTTTTTAGATATGTATAACAACTGTAGTGGGCTCACCTGCAAACAGGCGTCGGGCAACAATCGCGAATGCGGCGCACTTGTGACAATAAGCAAAGGTCATTATAGTGTTACGACCATACGACGTACGGGAATGAGTTATCAGCTGTCTAATCGTAGACAACACAATGTCGAGTCTTAAACTGTAAGCCCGTATTGGTATTGTTTCTTTTATTTGGCTGTCGAACATAATTTATGGTTTGAAATATGATTTTATGTAAAATAATTGATATGAAAAAGCCGTCTTATAAGTTATGACCCCATTTCACCACACGCAAGTGGCAGAAATGACAATGATCAGCTGACGCATTTTTCTTGGCCGAAGTCAGAGCGCGCAGCCCGACGCACCACCACCGCACCACAAAGTATGAGCAGAAGCCGCGCCCAAAGCCAGGGCCCCGGTAACGTGAGGTAGCCGAGTCGGGGCAGCGTGCGCTGACCCAAGCCGGGGCCGCAGCTTTGGGCGCGGTCTACCGCATCCCCGCGGGCAGCCCCGGGCTATCACATGACACCGGGAGGACGCGCGGCTCCGGCTTGGGTCAGCGCACGCTGCCCTGACTCGGCTACCTCACGTTGCCGGGGCCCTGGCTTTGGGCGTGGTCTACCGCACCACCTAACAGGCGTGTTCGAAACCGCAGGAGCTGATGATGAACGGGTTTATCGAAACTTGATTGGATGAGCATATCGGTAATAGCGATTTCAGTGTGTGCATTTATTGTTCATAGTGGTGTGAAATGTGGTTGGGGTACGACCGACAACCCGTCGGGGCGAATTTCGCACTGGGGTACTCAAAATTTGAAGAATTTAAGACGTTTCCATGAGTTTTGAAGGTATGGATAAGTTCTAAAAATCCGGTTCTCCTTATCTGGGCCATTAACTCCATACGGTCCAAGAAAGCTGGCACACTACCTTTAAAACTCACATATTCATGGCCAAACTTCTCTAGCTGCTGCACACAACAACCGAATCCTATCATGTTCAATGGACGATGCGTTCAATCAAATTGAATTACGTTCCAAAAATTTACGAAAGTCCAGAGTACGAGGTAAGTTTGTGACGAAATGCACCAGTTAGCTATTACCATCGGGTAAGTGCGCTAGTCCGGTCAATTTAGTGGGATTTACGCTAGCCCAAGACGCCGTTCAACAGCTCATTTCGATATAAAAATGCTACTTAATCAAGGCTTACGAGTATGCAAACTACATGATACTCTGCGTCCAAGTCGATATGATAATGAACACAACTTTCCCCGGTTAGTTTATGAATAGTGTGTCAACTAATCAGAAGGGCCTCTTTTGAAGGAGACTGATCCGAGGTGAACCGGATTAAAACGATAATCTCGGGGCAAGGTCCAAAGAAACTGTACATCACTCATCAGCCTCCACCCTGTACCTGGACAGTGGCACCGATTTCTCCTGGGGGCCAGTATTTTTTTCGATGTTCTTCCTATAACTATAGTAGGACACGCTTGATGAACCACGTCGAAACGTTCACAAGTTTTCACAGGCTCTACAGGTTACCTAATTCTCACTTCAGGCAACTAAAAGTTCTTCCATTTTCAAGAAGAGATGCGATGACTTCACAGCCGAATTGTTATGTTTCTTCGACAAATTAAGGAAATGCAAACCTTAGGGTGAGCTTAACCCGCGCCCTGCTGGGGGGTGTTTGAACACCCCCCCTTGTGGTTTTTCGCGAATATCTCAAAAACGGCGGCGCGGAGCGCCGCCGTTTTTGGTACACCTTATCATACATCAATTCTACACATGTTGTGAAAATTTCAGACCAAGGTCATTCAAGGTCAGGTCACCAGGTCACTTGAAGTGACCTCACCTCATAAAAAGTTTCAATGTCTGTCATAGCTACACCGAGTGACCGATCGCTTTGAAACTTTCAGCGATTGCTAAGAGCAATAGCATGTACAAAATGTATATCTCAGAATTTTGATATCGATGACCTAAGGTCAGGTCAATTTTGCGACCTCCCCATTATAAGTCAATGGGAGAAAATTGAAATGCGCCTCTTTTGGACGAAAGACATTATAAACACTCCCAAACACCGAATTACAAATGGTTTAGACACACTGAACATGAAAATGGTGTCCGTGACCCTTGCTTATGCCCTGAGGTCATCTTAGGTCACGAATGATATCTAACAGTTTTTCGCGAATAACTTTTGATAGAGGCGTGCTAGAGCGATGAAAACGCCTTAGATGTGTTCAGCTCGACGATACGGATCGACTGATATGCAACATGACCCTTTCCGGTCAGGTCATGACCTTGACCTGAGGTCAAATTTTCAAGTTGACCTTTCAAGGTCAAGTTATAGTTCATTCGATGCGTCTTGACGAGAGGAACACGATGCCGGTAAAAGTAAGCTCGTACAAGGCTTGGGTCAAAAGTTATTGCAGAAAAACTGTTTCCGAAAAAAATCGGCTATTTTTGCAGTTTTTGCCCCCTGCAGGCAAAACCGTTGAAGTTAGGTCAAATCTGAGAGAATTACTCAGAAAGGGCGTTAATAGGGCTACCGAATGCGCTTTTCCGCGGCGCTGTAGCTCTATTGGTTCCCGAGTTATGCGTTGGCTTCTTGGAAATTTTCGACATTCGACCTGGAAATCGGCGAAATTTTGCCTTCAATGACCTCTGGTGACCTGACCTTTGACCTGACCAAAAAATTGACCGAAGTGATTTCGTCATTATTTTTGACGCTCTTTCGAACGCCGCCTTCCGCGTATCGCTACGTGGCCTAGGAGCCGAGTTACAAGGGGGGGTGTTCAAACACCCCCCCCCCCCCCAGCAGGGCGTGGAAATCCAGGACCCCCAGCCGGGCGCGGGTTAACTGACACCAACCGAATTATAACAAAGATATATTACGGGTAAAAGTATTCCACTCACAAAACCATATATCACAATGAAAGACATTTTGTACTGTATGAAGCAGACATGTGCATGGATCCGAGAAAATGGATCTGGGATCTGATCCCACGGATCCTGATCTCGGATCCGTCGGGATCATAGATCCAGCTCTTTAATTTATCGAGAGATCCGTAGGGATCATAGATCCGAGTCTAGTATTTTTGCTTGAGATCCAGTGGGATCATAGATCCTCATTTATTTTTTGTCAACACAGAAATCCCAAAAGATCACTCGTTGCAACTCACAAACGTTCTAATTTAGTGTTTGTATGTGATAACACGTCATAATCCATAGTTTTATGGCACTTATTGACATAGAAACACTTGGAAACCTGGTTTCAAATGTTGTTCATGGTGGGATCCACTCAGATCATAGATCCATGCTTTTGGTTTATCGTCAGATCCTGTAAGATCATAGATCCAGGATAAATTTTTCACGCCGGATTCGGTGGGATCATAGATCCGAACCTACAATTTGCCTCGAGATCCACTGAGATCATAGATCAATCACTCGGATCCATGCACATGTCTGGTATGAAGGCCATTTCTGGCGGTGGCTAACCATGATCACGTGGCATCCAGCGGGTTGGCGCTGGACGGCACTGACCGAGGCGCGGCGGGCACCGGTAACAGCAGCTCTCCAGGCTGGGCGGGACAGGACGGCACTGAGCGGGGGGCGGCGGGCCCCGGTAACTCAGCTGTGTGGTCGGTGTGCGCCGATAGGTCTGGGCAGGACTGCGCTCCGGACTCCGCTCGCGGCACGGCGCTCGGAGCGGCGATCTCAGATGCCGGCAGGGCGGTCCCGTCGGGCTGGACCGACCCAACAGCCGGCCGAGCCCCGTCCGAATGTGTAGCGAGGTGTACCAGGTATGCCTCGTTTCTGACAAACGAGCAGGTGCACTGGTCGCACCAGAAGTTGGCCGGCAGCGGCCGGGCGTCCCGGCCCCGGCCGCGACGGGTGGCGGTGGTGGTCCGACGCTCACCTGTGAGGGCAGATGGTGGACGGTCAGCTGGGGAGCGAACCTTCCACTGGTATCGGACGGCAGCGGGCCACACAGCTCAGACATCAAACAGCAGAAACAGACACCGATCCGGTCCAACACCGACAGGTGTTGGCAGGTATCGGTGTCCAACACCGACAGGTATCAATGGCGCGAGCACGGCAATAATGCAATCAATGAGTGGTAATGCAAACAGTCATAACAAATTCATAAAAAGTCAACGCTTCTTTAATTCTTGATTCGGAAATAATGTTTCATTGCATAGTTCAGCTGACAGCATGATTCCGATTACCGATACCTAATGTATTTGTTACATATGGGTGCTTTTCACCTACCTGTTGCTGCCTTTTCCGGTATTTTATTTCCGTCCTTATCGATGCCGTGAATGTTTCGCAGATGCTTATAATAGTTGCCTGTAAATAACGACACTTTCAGCAATAGATTAGTGGTATCGGACCTATAATCTGGCGACAGTTGTCCCTAGAAGCATGTGAGACAATACAACTAAAAAAGACGCAACAATAGGCAGGTAAAAATAACACATTGACAAGTAGATCTAACGTTTACACATCAGCTAGGGAGACAATGACATATTTCAATGAATTGAAAATTCCTGTAAGCAATAGTTACAAAATCAAATTTAGAAAGAAAGCACGGCTAAAACGAATTCTGTAACATGCAGCCAGTCGTCCCACCTTTAATAATCAACTGGAGAATTCTACAATGTATGAACTATGAAAGACCTTGCCCTACTGCACCGACCAACGTGACTACTGACAAGGGCACTGCCCCGCCTCAGTGAACGATTCGGCTGCTGACAGGGGCGCTGTCCCACCTCTGTGGCACACCGACTGCCCCGGGTGTGTAGGTGGCGGTGGTGTCCGATGCCGTACCTTTGAATGCCGACGCGAAGCTGCACAGCTGGCAGCCGAACGGCTGGTCGCCCGTGTGCAGCAGCTGGTGGCGGCGCAGGTCCCAGCTGGTGCGGAACGTGCGCCCGCAGTCCGGCTCCTGGCACGGGTACGGACGGTCGCCTGACGACGGAACGGGGAGCCGTCAGCTGATGTGGGACCGGGGAGGCGTCAAATGTGGGACAGGAGCCGTCATATGCGAGACAGGAAGGGGGAATGTCAAATGTGAGACAGGGGACACCTACGAGACGACAGGAGCCTTACCTGTTACCATGTGGAAGATGGCAGGGAACGGTCAATGTTGGAAAGAGGAGACATCACGCAGTCATTTCCATTGCACGACAGGTCAAAAGGAGAACGCCATCCACGGGAGAGGGTTTGCAATGCATCTTACCCGTGTGAGAGCGCAGGTGGACGGTAAGCTGATGTGGGTGTTTGGCTGCGTAACTGCACACCTGGCAGCTGAAACGGGGCAGAGACGCAGACCAGTTAGCGCCCCGGCGTTACCAGCTCATCGGTCAGGACTGGAAACGGAGGCACGCCGAGCCCGCTGGTGAAACGGCGCACAATGGCAACGACCATCTAGCGCGTTTTCGCGAAGAGCTCATGGAACAGTTCATAATGACATTAATTCAGCAATGCCACGCTAATTATATATCCAAAGAGCGCTGTAGGTACAAAATGCGCTACTACTACGGTTTCGGATTTGCCGACAAAGCCCGGGGAAGTAGGAATTCGTGCTCAGAATCCGGCCCGAGTTACTATCAGCAGAGTGCCCTGTCCGTACCTGTGCGGCCGCTCGTCCGAGTGGCGGTCGCGCATGTGTTTCTTCACGTGGTGTCCGCTGGCGCCGCGGAACGTGCAGCCCTCGACGGTGCAGGCGCGGCGCCGGCGCGCCTCCGGCTGCCGGTGCGCCAGACGCTCGTGCTCGGCCAGCTTGTCCGGCCGACTGTAGAGGGCGCCGCACACCGAACAGCGGAACTTCTCGTCTGGCGGGACGGCGGCGGCGCGTCAGGGCGGAGCATCAGGACAGTGTTGGGGTCTGGGAAGGACAGGGCGGCCTCAGTCGCACCGACACTGGTCTCCCACGCATAGACGATCGAAGGTAACCAGTGCACGGCACCGCAGCTTGATGCTAAAACAGGTGGCAGCTCAGTTTATCGAAACAGTTTGCAGCCAGGCCAAGTGCCTCGTTTAGCTAATCGAGTACTCATGCGATACGTTACCGTATCGAAAATTAGCTTCCGAGACCCATCTTTTTAAAATTCACCGCTATCGTTAATCACGTTCAAAGAACATAATCATACTTTTCTCTAGCTAAATCACGACGATTTGCTGCAATTAGGCCAAAATAAACAGTAGCTTAGTGCCACTTACTGGTGTGTTTGAACTTGTGCCGCACCAGGTCCTTGGGGAAGGCGCACCGGTGCCCGCAGATGTCACACACGTGGTTCCGCGGTCGGAGTCGCTTCTTCCGCGGCGGCGGGTCGGCGGCGGCGGCCGTCTCCGCCGGCTGAGTCACCTGGACAAGCAGCTCGAGCGGCGCGCCGGCGGCGGACAGCACCGGTACGGACACCAGCGCCGGGTGGGGCAGCTGCTGGACCGGCGCGGCCGGCGACTGCACCGCGGAGCCCTCGGAGAGCGGCAGCAGCCCCGGCTGCCCACCAGCGTCCTCCGCCGGCCCGCACACCTGCACCTGCTGCCCGAGAAACGGCAACTCAACTGGCAGTGAAAACTAACAAGTTTTTAACCCCCTACACCCAAACAAGATGTCTGTTTATCTAGGCTGAGCATTAATAACATGCTGGATGTTAAGCTGTGTCCTTGGGCCCTGGACAATGTCCCTCTATTGTTACCAAATAGCCAGGACTACAAAAAATCACCCTCTACCTAAAACTCACTACCAAAAGTTAGCTAAACCTAATAAAGAGATGAAACTAAAACATGAAACATCACCATGGCATGGAATGTGTAGCTGGAAAGTAGATACTCACAGCATTTAGGGATACTTCTGGGCTGTGTCTTACTGCCAAGTGGCAGTGATGAATCCTATGGTTAACAAAGGCATGCAGGCTTGAGAATTGCATTTGACATTTGCTGCAGAAGTGTAGATCACCATAGATATCTTCAAATTGGGATCCATTTATCAAGTCCAGCAATGTATGCTGCTGATGTGCCATTTTCATCTGGGGTCAGAAAATCACTTCAAAAAAGGTATAGCATATTCTCTACAGGAAAAGAACAGCAAAGATGATGGCCTCTACATTCTACATCAGTAAATGGAGAATGATAACAACAAATCAGTGAAACAAGTCAGTGAAATCTCCAAATGCTTCAAGTTCTGTTTTCAATTGTTTTAGTGTTTGCAGCTGAATACACCCAGCGTGACCATTAAAAAAAAAATGAGCCTTTCCACTGCAGGACAACAAATGCATAGTGATAGGGATGTTGCTTGTTGCTGTTGCATTCCGCACTCGGAATGGGGCATGTAACCGCAAGCCGGGCGCAAGGCCTATGTCATTTTGTCTCACACGGTAGCATTGTAAGATGGGAACATCTCGATATACAAGGCTGTAAAATATATGCCTAGTACCAACATATAAAGGCAGTAGGGGAAGGTGGGGTAAGACGGACCAGCTAAGGTTTGAGGCCGCATATCTTGCTACACTGCTCTCGTAATTCATATTATTTATAGTCTTCGGAATGCTCAATCTTCCCTCTGTTGATATGTGTAAAGACTAAATTTCAAATTAAAGACATCTAGGTGGTGGATGCTCTTAAAGAGGGACATGTCAAAAACTCAGACAAGAAAAAACGTGGGGTAAGACGGACCACTCAGCAGTGCCTGCTATCCGTTCATGTGTGTTACACTTCTGCTCTGTACTCTTGTAAGAAAAAGTAACCAGAATGGTAAAATAACAAAATGAGCCTTTATTCTTTACTCATGTGTGATGGAAGTGCAGCTAAAAGCTGGGAACATGTGTGTTGATTGTCGTTAGGCATGAATGCATGCTAACTGAGCACTTTCATGCATGGCTCACATGCAACAAAGACTCCTTCCTGAAAAATTAGCTTACTTAAACTTGTGTCAATGTTTTGGGAAAAAATCTTTCCATATGCAGAGTACAATGGACCACCACAGGGTAAGATGGATCACAGTGGTCCGTCTTGCCCCAAATCTAAATTCTGTCATTATCATGAGGTATATGTCAAATAGCCCAGCATTGCAAAACCTTGCCTTTCCTAAAGTGTGATGATAACTATGTTTATAACTTTGTTCTTCACAGTAAAGTGCAAAATAGAAACTAATCATGCAAGAAAGGCGCCGTAATTGAATCACCCGTAGACCTCTTATATTAGATCGGTTTGACGAAAAACAACATTTTTCTCAATAACTCAAAAGCTATGCGTCCTAGCAGCATGAGCTCAAGGTGGCCATTGTTATGAAGGAAAACAAACATAGTGAGTGCATAAAGCAGTAGATACCAGCAGCGGTTCAGCCGGGAGGGCTGGTGGTCCGTCTTGCCCCGCTGGGCCGTCTTACCCCACCTTCCCCTAGGTAGGCACCTACCTACCAACCTACCTATCTACAGAAATTAATCAACAAAACACTCATATATTTATAGTATTTAGCACCAACATGATATTTCTAAGGATTCAAAAATGAAAATATTTATCATGGTTTTCACTTGAACCATGATAAGGGCCTTAAGGGCCTACTTTAAGTAGGCCCTTAAAGTAGGAAAATTACAGACTCATATGTTATGCATTGCATCTGATTACACTTCTGGCGCAAAACACATGCAATATTCCTTGCTTGGGTTGTTTCTTGCTTGTTCCTAATTTGATGACGTCATTGATCCAAATTCGGTCAGAACTTATCTTTTATCACTAGTCAATTTTCGAGGTCAATAACGTTAAAGTCAAATGTTCAAGATTTTCCAATAATCTTGCTTCATTATTCCTGCAAACTTAGAACGTTTGAAACTTTGATAAAAATAAAAGATATTCGAAGGTACGATTCAATGGGGATGTTCGCGCTAAGAGTTCCGAAAAGTCTCGCCAGGTGGCAGCACGGTATGCTTTGGACACAACGCGCCGGCCGGGCGGCATATTTACGTCTGGACAACGAGTTGCGTTGGAGAGGCCGGAAATAGTGGCGATTTCAGGACCGCAAGAATGGACCGTCATTGGAATGATTCTTTTTTAAACCGTGCACTGTTTTCGGCCGGAATTCAATAGTTACTACAAAATATTTTGTAATTACGTTTCCACCAAGAATGAATGCCATCAGGGCTAAATTTTCAATATTATTGCATTTTGTCAAGAAGCATATAGTGCTGTGATATTGCAGTTTTAGCGCGTTTGTTACAAAATATGAAGCGAATAAGCGTCAGTGTAATTCATCAACAGTGCCAGAAGTTAACTTGAGGGAAAGCTATGCTAATTGCTCTTGTCCATCCACTAAAATTTATTAAATATTTTGCTTTGTGTATTCCAAAAGGAGAGGGAACTATTTCATTTGTGCCTTCATGTCAGAATTGAAGGTGGATCATTAAACTTTCAACGCAGTTTACAAACAAGCATTTGGTCTTTCTCGTTTATAAGCAGTGGCTAAGAAAAGGTTGATCAATCCTGAAGTTCAGTCATCGTACCTCAACTTCGCAGCAAGATCCCCCAAGGACAGAGGATATATTGTATACATGTCCTGTAAATCAAAACAAACAAGCATTTGGTCTTTCTCGTATATAAGCAGTGGCTAAGAAAAGGTTGATCAATCCTGAAGTTCAGTCATCATACCTCAACTTGGCAGCAAGATCCCCCAAGGACGGAGGATATATTGTAAACCTGTCCTGTTAATCAAAACATTTTTGTGCCTTCAAAGGCTTAAGTTACCTGTGGTGTGTTCGGAGTTAGGCTATATGGCCGTTTTTGTTGTATGTTTATGTGGAGATTGAATATAACTGTGACCCTGTGCTTGTTTGTATACTTACGGTCAAACAGGGAACAGCACATTCACATAACATACTCACCTAGCACCTAACTCATAGCTGTACCCTGCAGGATCTACTTGTTCATGTCTCAAGCATTAACAAAGCACTAAAGTAGCTTAGTAATCATTTCCCACATTTTCTGAGCATCTAACATGACATACAGCAGTGCAGAGCAGCTTCAGAGAAGAAACACTTTAAATGCACAGACTCACACCAGCCACCCAATGAGCCAGTTCCTCAGTTGACTGTTTCCCTGGACACAGCTTGGCAATGTGAGCTAACTTTTGGCAAGTTGAAGGTTAGCAGGTAAGATTGAGTTAGGGTGAGTACCTACCTATAACTGGGTGCTACTGCCATGCAGGTCTTGGGTAGGCTGCAAATATGTGTGATGATTGAGGTTAGGTCAGCTGTCAGGATAGTCAGGTTCAGGTATGCTCATTGCTCAGTCACATTTTTATGGACATTTGGCAAATTGAAAAACTAACAATCTGATCTAAGCTAACCCGACTAAACATACACAACTACTGAGTACTGACTATAGGAACTGAGCACCTAACTACTTGTGCCTACATCTCATACCATGTCAAAGTAGAGTTCCTTGGTGGAAGATTACCCTCAGTACTTTTTATCCCAGCCCTGTGAAGAAAACTAATACTTCTAAGCTCTGAGTCACTGCTGGCCATCCACAGGAAGAAACGCTGAGACTGAGAGCTTTGCCATTGTATATTGGACCAATAATGACTATCACGAATGACTATGAACACATAATATGATCACATCGTTGCATGGATTGTCACATTGACAATTTTACTACAATCCTTTTTTCAAGAAATATAGTGATGATGATTAACATCATAATCAACATAAAGTGGATCTAGTGATCCAAGCTTTCTCCTCCAGTAGCAATGGAATGATCGCATGTTTCATTTGCCAGACACTGAGTACCTGATGCACATTACAATCTGCATAGCATCTAAGCATAGTAAAACTGCCCAAGTCCATTCATTCTAGATTTTAACTTGATAGTTAGCACTAATTTATCTTGCTGTTGTAGTTATCATTCAATATTCATACCAATACATCAATATGCGCTCATCAGTAAACATTTTCAGGCATGATCCTGCTCAGCGTGCTCTTCAGTATTGCTCCAAGGTCTGCAATATTATAGCTTGTTTTTGGACAATAAGCTCTTTTAATTTTACTTTTTCTTGCTGATATATGAGCCCGATCAACTTGCGTTTATCAACCAAAATTTCATAACTTGTTCAACTTGATATTGATATTGCTCAGTAGCAGGCACGTACCCAGGATTTCGCCCAGGAGGGGGCCACCTGCTTCCGAAGGGGCCCTTAGGTCACCCGGGGCCCCCAGGCCGCCCAGGCGACCAGGGGCCCCAGGCAACCAGGGGCCCCATGCGACCAGGCCCCGCTACCAGGGGCCCCAGGCTATCAGGGGCCCCATGCGACCAGAGGCCCCCATGCGACCAGGCCCCCCGGCTACCAGGGCCCCCTAGGCGACTAGGGACCCCAGGCAATCAGGGGCCCCATGCGACCAGGCCCCGGCTACCAGGGGCTCCCTAGGCGACCAGGGGCCAGGAAACCGGGGCCCTCGGATGACTGCAGGGGCCCATCGGGTCATCAGGGGCCCCTCGGGTAACCAGGGGCACATAAATGAAACTTTAATATAATTTTTTCTTCCTAGTAAAAGACGTTTTATCCAGTGTTTGAAAAAATATACCGGGGCCTGAGGGGCCCCCTGAGCGCCTTCGGCGCTCAGGAGGGGGCCATGGCCCCCGTGGCCCCCCCCTTGGGTACGTCACTGCTCAGTAGTCAGGACCTCTGTCAGCCTCCTGGATACTTCAGATTGTTTTCAGTCAACATGCTTCTAAAATATGATATAAGTCAATCTTAAGGGATTCAAAACATCCAACAAAACGACGTACAAGAGCAAGAAAACCACCAGATAAACTAAAAAATGGCCTTGGAACAGAGCCAAGTGGTGCGCTCCATTTGTTTGTTTACAATGATTGTAGTGCTGATGTATTTTTAGGATTCTGAACGTCGGCTTATAAAAAATGAAACGTTTTTACAAAAGTTGTAAGGCAAGTAATATTTATCTGAAAGAACTAAAATATTCAAAAGCCAAACACTATGAAATACATGAATCAGAACGAAAAAGTAACCCAAAAATCCAGCCTAATCACCGGCTCCTAAAACTGCAACACAATCAGCACTTTTCCCCGCAACTCGTTGTCCAGACGTAAATATGCGGCCGGGCGCGGGCCGGGCCGGGAATAACACTGCGGGCGGCGACGGCGGCCGACGCGCCGCGAACGGAAACTGCGTTTCATATCTTTTTCAGGTTCATCATTTTGCTAAAATGAGTAGCTACAGTTGATTTCGATATTAGGAAGACAATGACGCGTGTGAAAGGCAAACTACTACATCGTCATTGAGTGGAAGGAAAGGGAGCTGATCGAATGGTCACCAAAAGCTACGGAGTACGAAAGATACGATGTTATCACATATTTTAACTTACACAGTTGAAATTAAAAACCTTATTACATTCAGACATATATTCACACGCATGAAACAATCGATTTGCAGTACACATTCCATGACAAGAACGCATACCTACGGTCTTAAGTTGACCTCTAGCGCTCGTCACTGTCAATCACATCCCTGTATATAGTTTGTACAGACTATTGACTTAACCCTTCATCCGGCATGCGTTCATTCTGTAATGATGGGCAACGAATCACCGGCGATTTCTGCGTGGCTCTACATGACATCCTCGTCCGTTCCCCAGGTCAATTGGTTCGGTGACTTTCAAATTATAGCAGGCCCTTCCTCGGTCAGGCTTGATGGATCCACCGTCACTTTGCGCGGTACTTTAAGACAGACTGTACCTTCTACCAACACGACTGACTGATTACAATCTGATGCGAAAGGGACAATATCTCGTCGGTCTTCAGTTAAAGTTTAATATTCAGCGACACAAGTGTGAAGGCTGCCTGGAAAACTTGCAACAAACTAAGTAAACTAAGCTTGGCTTGTAATGGGCACAAAATTGTAATAAAGAGGTACTTAACAAATCCACAATGTTCTGTTCAGTCAAGTAGCCTTCACATATGAAGCATTGCTATGAATACTCTTCTAGAGCTGATTGATAGCTTTTGAAGGAAGGAGCTGAGTGGCTGAGCCCTACCATTCACCACTTATCACCTTCAACAATTGCTTAAGGCATGCAGTTCTCTATCACTAGAAAATATCTGACAATTTGCTGGCTCTCATTTGTGTATGATGCAACACGCTTTACATCAGTGATACTATGACCAGGGCTGCGGAGTCGATGGTTTTTCGGCGGCTCCGAAGTCCGACTCCGACTCCGACTCCGGCTTTCAAAAACCAGCCCCGACTCCGACTCCGACTCCGGGCAGAATTGTCGACTCCGACCGACTCCAACTCCCGACTCCGACTCCGCAGACCTAGCAGGGCTGCGGAGTCGACAGATTTTCGGTGACTCCGACTCCGACTCCGGCTCGGGTTTCTAAAATCGACTCCGACTCCGACTCCGGTCACAACTGTCGACTCCGACTCCGACTCCGCAGCCCTGACTATGACACAAAATGTTGAACACTAGCATAGGTTGCAATGTAGATCCAAGGTGTCCCAGAAGCCAGAGCAAAAATTGACACCTTAATCAACTTCATGATTGTGGCAAAATTCCACTGCTTGACTACACAGAGCACCAACTGTTTGCTCCTCTAAACTTTCACCAAACGAAGTGTTGGTTGCTGATGTCATTTGTAGCAGCAGTGACACTGGTAACTTCAAATCACAGGATCTGGTAGCATCCATGCTCTTGTATCTGGATCTTATCAATGCAGCATTGCACCTGTGAATAAATGAAAAATGGCATTAGACAGGGAAAGATCTTGGCAAGTCATAATGAGATACATATGTTTAGCACGCATGGATAAAAGGACATTATATACTGAAGCAATTAGCAAAACATTGCAGTTTAAGCACAGTTGAAATCTGATATGATGAACTGGATACAGTGACTTCATCAACACCCATGAACTTTACACAAAGTATTTGCAATTTTGAAATGCACTATTATTGCAGTTACCTATACAAATATTCTAGGTGAAACTTTATTTTAAAAAAACAACAAAAAACTTGGCCTTATTTAGTTGCTAAAAGAACCGAGTGAATATTCTAAAATAGTGTTCACTTCAGTGTGAATCAAAACTTAGAGTAAACAATAATTTACCTGATGAAATGAAGATATTATATCAATAATGAGTAGCTTTCGGTGGTGATGAGTTAAAAGAAAACATTTTGCAAGAAAGGCTATCAGTTACTTCTGGATGATATACTGCAGTGCACAAGCTGTTCACCAACTCCTACCTGGTCTTTCAGTGGAATCCCTCTGTATGCACCTCAGAACTTCATCCGCAGGGCTGGTTCCTTCATACGCAGGTCCTCTGCCTTCCTTGATTCCTCGGACTCCATCCTGACAACTCCGCACCAGAAACATTATTGCACTGGGCACCTGTAACACCATAAAGGTTGATCAATACTTGTAACAATTCATAAATAGTAGGTAGCTTAGTGTTCTATTACATACACCTTCTGGTTGCTGGTGTCAAAATAGTAATTTGTCTTTTTCCATCATAACCTTTAGCTGCTTGCAATATCGTTGGTACCAGACAAAGTAGAACACTGCTAAAATGCTTGCAATTAATCTTGAATTTATATAATCATTCTCAGCAGCATGTATCATCTTTTAATGCCTTTCTCAAAGGGTGCAGGTCAATTTCCTATATTGTTATGCCCATAAACTTATACAGGTAAATTACCTTATATGGGCAATACAATATCCAGCTATGAGTTAAGTTAGACTATTTTATACTCTTAGTTATGCTCGCCATAAAAAAAAATGTCGGGAAACGTGTTACATCGATGGAATTACCGTTTGGAGTCGGTCTATCTTCGGCTTCTCGCCTCTCTTCGGCTACGTCAATTGAAGCCTTTCTAAGTCTCCTGTCCTTTGTAAACTTGCCTTTCCATGTTTGTGACACTTGCTGAATATAAATTCACAACCCATCTGAGCAAAATTCAAATCAATTGCTATCAAATTCACCGAAATTCAGTCCCGAGAACCGACACCGCACGGACTCCACACAGTGCAAAACACAGTGGCGCATTCGGGCTCTCTCTATCGTCTGGAGGTTTCGAAAGATGCTCTCCAGAGATGGCGCTAGTAAGTTTGGCTGACATGACGTCATGCTTAAAAGTGATGGGTTTTGTGAGAGCAAATGTAATAATAGTTGAAAATTTTGGTTTTTTGCTTAATTGAGAAAAAATAAACATACAATTGTTCAAAACAGCGTTTTTCTCATTCATCCTTCATTGTTTTAAGAGGAATATAGACAGTTTAAATCTTTTTTCCTGACCGCAATTCGCACACGCACTAAATTAAAAGCTGGAGTTTTGTGCGTTCGTAAATAGTGATTTGAGAGAATAAATTGACAACAATCGTTTGCACTTTTGCTTTACAATCATTTTTCAATGCAGATAAATGCATAAACTATTCGAAAATAGGCATATCTTTGAAATATTATGATTTTCCACAAGCAACTTTTTCCAAAAACTTGAACTACTTACAACTGACGAACGCATCCAATAATCTGGATGTCTTAGGATGAGTTCGTCATTTTTTCTCAAGGAAATACGATACAGTTTAAGCTACTTTACCGATTTATTAGGGTACTTTTGCCAATGAATTAATAAATAAATGACAACAATTAATCTCATTATCAACCATACTCGGAAGAATTTTCTTCGCATAAGCGCGAACACATCCACGCTTTCATGAAAAGTAACGCCTGTAGATGTCAGGACTGCTGCTTTATGTTTCGCAAGGTGGCGCAGCGCGCAGGGTACCGACTACCGAGGCTGAGGTCTCCAGACTCTCCACCACGATTTAGCTTGGAAATGGCCAATGGGGAAGGTCTCACCCAAGAAAAAAACGACGCCCTTTTACACAGCTGCATAACGAGAATGAATTATTGGCATAGCTGACCATACGTCCCCTCCCCCTCTCCGCCCCAGCTCAATTGGAAATATCGCCTTGACTAATTTCTCACTCTTCCCAGTAAACCTTAACATGCATGATGCAGATGTCCACTGCGTAAGTCGTGTGCTTGCGTAAGTGTGCCAACTATATAGTGCTGCCTACACTCTACAGTGCCTACTGCTTCCACCATTGTCGTTATAATTGGTGATTCTCAGGTCAAAAGTTACACAGTGGTCTCAGAGAACAATCGTTTCAACAAATTAACGATTCAAACCGTTGCATTCTACTTATATTCCGGTCAGTTCTGCTACTAAACAACTCCGGCAAAACACTCTTTAGGTTATGTATTAGCGAACCACCACACAAAATTCGCCCAATCAATGGTCAGTTATTACTGCTGGGCTGAACCGTCATACGCTATATAGCCTATTGCAGTCAATATTTTCAGAACGATACCGACTGACGAAACACAACGTATTCGCGGATTCGCACATACGTTGGCACCCAGGTGGCTTGTCAGCAGCCGCACAAATTGAGATGGTACACCGTAAAGCATGCCTTTCCACACAGGCACAAGCACAGGGACACAAATTCTCAAAATCCAAACTTATTCCAATACTGGTCAAATACTAATAGGCATAAAGTTTTGAGGTTTTCTCGTGTTCATTCTTCTTTCAACACACGCGGCAGACTGCAGCAGAACATCGCACAGAGCTGCGCTGGATGCAGTCATGAGCTGGGACACGGTTTGTGACCAATGACCGATCGGGGGTGCCAGCCTCCTCCCGGCACGCGATGCACTGGCCGCCGCGCAGTCGATGTCGGGGCACCGCCGGCATTCGCCGACAGGGTTCCATCCGATTCGGTGTATTGGTGGCAGCCCGAACAGTGACCCACGCGAAGCTGGTGAACGTCGATGGCCGATGAGCGATGCCCTTCCGCGACCGGCGGTGGCAGTCGGTCCCACATCAAGAACAGATACCAGTCATGCGGTCAGTCGGCGACGGCGCGGTCGCGAGCCGATCTGATGGTCGCGCGGTGGGCGTTGCCGACGTCCACCGGGACCGTCGACTGGGGGAGCGCGGCCGCCTCTTGGCCGCCGCCTCTGGTCGGCGCGCTCGTTGCGCTGTGGGACGGCATCCACTGCAAGTCGTTCACTGTGAAGCGGTCGTTTGACCGGACCTGGCAGGCGGAGAAAGGGGGCCTCAGATGAAGTAAAACCATCCCTCAGGCCAGCTTGAGCTGGCTCTCCACCTCACCATGTTAGATAAGCGGACACCCTCGTGATCATCGCAGCGATGATTGCCAATTGGTGTGTCATTATGGGAGAGGATGCCAGCCTCCTTTGCAAGATAGTCTGCCTTTAATATAGTGCAGCCCGATCCATTGCCTGTGGCAGCAGACTGGGCTTGATAATGCAGTGCAGGACACACCAAACGTAAGCGGCCATCTGTACCCCCAGCGCAGTAGGGCTGACTCAACCAGAGTTGCCCTCCCCCCACCATTCTATGCACGTGATAACTGGATGGGACATGCCATGGTCAGCATCTGTTCAAAAGCTGCCCTAAGCATGTAAAGCTCCACTGGCATGCTCGAGCATGGTCACAGTCACTTCTCACTTCTCAGTTGAACTTCCAATGGAAACCCATCACAAAGTAGAGATCAGGGCGCCTTTCACACTGCAGCACACTCAACGACTGAGGCACCATCTCATCACTTGCAGGTGGTTCTTGCCAGGAGCAATGCCAGCCACACACATCACGTGATAACAGCAGTGTACAACTGCAATCTACAAGCATCCATGTTCTTTCTGGTTTTCTGCTGTTGAGATCCACTGCCATGCATGAACTTGATGGGCTTTTGTTGCGCTCCTCCCATGTGCAGACAGGTTTCTGCTGAAACAAAGCAAAGCAAATGTGATTAATAATGGCCCTGTTTCACCATCCAGACACTGTGTGCACTGGTAGCTACGGCATACCATAGCATCACTCAAATGACGTTGCATGTGATCTCTTAGTTTATGATGAATCGCGTTTGGAACAGAGTGAGATGTTCTGAAAAACCGTACCAAGAACAGAGGTTTGAGTTCAAATACTGCTAGCATGCTGCTGGTGCTGGTACCGCAGCGTGCTAGCGTTCTGGGATGCTGTCATATAGCTTAGCGTCACAGTGAACTTTGTTGACACTGCCATGGCAACCCAATGCTCTGACACACGCAGCGCACTGCAGTGCTCTGCCGTGAAACACCACCCATGAACGTTGGTTGCATGACCAGGATCGGAGCAGTCAGTGGCGGATCCAGGGGGGGGCAAAATAGGCATTTGCCCCCCCCCAAACGGCATAATTTTAACATTACGCCTATGGACGATGCATGGAAAGAATCGATAAATTGTTTTGGTTTGCCCCCCCCCCAAAAAAAAAACTCTGAGCTGGACAGCATCAGCATTGACATGTTATATAAAATGAGGTTTAGACTTCAGGTGGTCCCGGGTTCAGCACAAGGGGGCAAAAAATTGTCAAAAAATATTTAAAAAAATACCTGCCTTCAACAACACCTCATCTAATCACATATCTCAATACAATCACAATCAAAAAGCAAAAACCGTTTGAATAACAATGCAATATTTTGCAACCGCTGCACCATTACTGTCACGTACGCTATCCCTAGATTGGTTGCTGGTAAGTAGTGGTTGTCGTCATCAACTCGTCATGCAGCAGCTGATTGGGATGGGCGGGGCCTATTTTTATCCAGACGATAGAGAGAGCCCGCATTCGCCGCCACAGTTTCTGTGTCCAAAGAAGGCAGTGCTGCCACCTGGTGAGGAAATAAGCCGAACATCCCCATTGGCCAAAAATATGACGTCATAGAACTTGATTATAAAGGTATTTTATGTGAAAAGTTGCAATGCAATACAGCATATTTACGTCTGGACAACGAGTTGCGTTGGAGAGGCCGGAAATAGTGGCGATTTCAGGACCGCAATAATGGACCGTCATTGGAATGATTCTTTTTTAAAACATGCGTTGTTTTTAGCCGAAATTTAGTTCTTACCATAAAATATTTTGTAATTAGAGTTTGGCCGAGAATGAATACCATCAGAGCTAAGTTTTTACTTTCATTGTATTTTGTCCAGAAGCATTAGTGCTGTTTTGTTGCAGTTTTTGCGCGTTTGTTACAAAATATGAAGCAAACCTGCAAAAAAGTTCCAAGGTGAAGATGATGCATATCACAATCATATTGACCTCAAGTTCATCCGTTCCTTCCATGATTGACTAGACAGATTTACACATTTCAATTTTATCTTGGATCAAAGGTGTTCGTGTGATCAGTGCCAACTGCCAGAGTTTAACTTGAAGTCCATGTCCCTCCGCTAAGAAGAAGAAGTTATTAAATATTTTGCTTTGTGTATTCCAAGAGGAGAGAGAAGTGGGAGCTATTTTCTTTGTGCCTTCATGTCGAATTGAAGATGGATCATTAAATTTTCAAGGCGTTGATCAACCAAGCATTTAGTCTTTCTCGTACATAAGCAGTGGCTAAGAAGAAAAAGTTAATCATCATACCTGAAGTTAAGTCATCTTACTTCAACTCAAACTTTGCAGCAAGATCCCCAAAGACAGAGGATATATTGTATACCTATCCTGTAAATCAAAGCATTTTTGTGCTTGCAAAGGCTTAAGTTATTTGTTGTGTGCTCGGAGTGAGGCTATGGGCGTTTTGTTGTATGTTTATGCGGAGATTGAATATAACTGTGACCCTGTGATTGTTTGTATATTTACTACAGTCAAACAGCATATTCAAATAACATACTCACCTAGCTCATAGCTGTACTCCCGCAGGATTTGTACTTGTTGATGTCTCAAGCATGAACAAAGCACTAAACTAGCTTAGTTATCATTTCCCACATTTTTCTGAGCATCTAACATGGCATACAGCAGTGCAGAGCAGCTTCAGAGAAGAAACACTTAAAATGCACAGACTCACAACACAACAGCCACCCGGGTGGCTGTTTCCCTGGATGTGGTTTGGCAAGGTGAGCGAACTGTTATCAAGTTGAAGGTTAGCAGGTAAGATCGAGTTAGGGTGAGTACCTAGTACCTATAACTGGGTGCTAATGCTATGCAGGTCTTGGGTAAGTTGCAAATAAGTGTGATGATTGAGGTTAGGTCAGGTTAGTCAGGTATGAATTGATCAGGTCACATTTTTATGAACACTTGGCAAATTAAAAAAAAACTAACATGACCTAATATTAGCTAGCCCAACTAAACCTACATAACTACTGAACTATAGGTACTGAGCACCTACCTACTTGTGCCTACATCTCATACCAAGTCAAAATAAAGAAGTTCCTTTCTGGAAGATTACCCTGGCAGTACTTTTTATCCCAGCCCTGTCAAGAAAACTAATACTTCTCAAGTTCTGAGTCCCTTCTGGCCATCCACAGAAAGAAATGCTGACAGCTTTGCTTTTGTATATTAGACCAATAATCACCATCACGGAACACATGATATGATCACATCGTTGCATGGATTGTCACATTGACAAATGACAATTTTACTGAAATCCTTTTTCAAGAAATGCAAAGTAATGATGAACATCAAATTAAACATTATAAAGCTGATTTAGTGATCCAAGCTTTCTCTTCCAGTAGCAACAGAATGATCGCATGTTTCATTTGCCAGACACTGAGTAATGCACATTACCATCTGCATAGCAAAGTAAAGCTGCCCAGGTTTGTTCATTCTAGATTTTTCACTTGGCAGCTAGCACTCATTGATCTTGCTGCTGTAGCCTGTAAGTAATATTTCAATATTCATACCAATACATCAATACGCGTTCACCAGCCAACATTTTCTGGCTTGATACTGCGCGTGTTCTTCAGTATTGATCTCCTGCAATATTATAGCTTGTTTTCGGCCAATAAGCTCTTTTAATTTTACTTTTTCTTGCTGATAGGTGAGCCAGATCAACTTGTGTTTATCAACCAACATTTCCTAACTTCAACCTGATATTACTCAGGACTCACAACTCTTAGCCTCCTGTATACATCAACTTGGGATTGTTTTCAGTCAACATGCTTCTTTAATATGATATAATTAAGTCACAAGAGATTCAAAACTTACAACAAAACGACATACAAGAGTTCGAAAACCATCAGATAAAAAAAAGGCCTTGGAACGGAGAAGAACTGAGCGAATTGGTGTGCTCCATTTGTTTGTTTACAATAATTGTAGTGCTGATGTATTGTTTTAGGACTCTAGCGGTTGGCTCATAAAAACTGAAACATTTTCACAAAATCTGTAAGGCAATTAATATTTCTCTGAAAGAACTTAAATATTCAAAAGCCAAACACCATGAAATACAGGAATCAGAACGAAAAAGTAACCCGAAAATCCAGCCTAATAACCGGCTCCTAAAACTGCGGCAAAATCAGCACTTTTCCCCGCAACTCGTTGTCCAGACGTAAATATGCTGCAATACAAGCTGGCGTTCAATGGAACTTGAGAACGGCCGCCATTTTATTGCGAGGATTTAATGGTTGTTATCTTTCGAGTGTGTTTGTGTTTTGCGTTATTGTTTGTGTCAAAGTTTGTTTTTTATTTTGATGCTGCTGTTTCAAAGTGTTGCCGGCTTTCTTAAGTTTTCCAAAAGATTTTCGAGGGTGTGCCGACCTCCACGCTTTTGCGCGTCCGGCGTCCCTGTTGTAGAAATTGAAACGAAAATGAAATGATGAAGGACTGGGACTGCCTTCAGCACCCATTGTTTTATGTTCCTAATTGTTTTTAGATTTTTTTTATTTGGCGGGCTTTTTCACTTTTGCTTAAATCAAAATGTCTAGTCGCTTTTTGGTACACTCAACCTCGTAATGCTGACTCAAGACGTCTGAGGCTGCAAAACCTGCAACAGTCTCAATGAGCTGCACCTGAAGGGCTGTGGGATTGACAAGTTTGCACCAGCCTGTGCCAACCTTCACAAGGTGTATAAATTTTAGTTAAAATCAAACATTGTTACATATGCTTTGCAGACTGGCTTAAAGCCCATTTATTTGGTTGGTGTTTTTTTCCATGACTCAATTCAAATTTGAGCTAATGCCAAGCTTAGACTTTGTAGAATAATTACCTAAAATTATTTGCAAAGTTTTGTTAGTTTATTCCCAAGAAGTTTTGTTGTAGCTGAATTTTTCAGCAGTTTTTTTTTGGGGGGGGGGACTAGACCAGGAAATTCATTAATTCCATAGACATTTTATTAAGAAATCAATTAATCCTAGCCTACCCTAAGAATTAGGTCACTAGCCCCTACATCCTACATAATAGTTGCCAACCCTTCCACCTAAACTTTGGTGCAAGGTGACTTTTTCCTTGGTCAAAGAATACAGTGATATTTTTCATTTGCCCACAAAGCACTGCTCACACTACAACCCCATCCCCCACACGCAATACACACTCTGACTTCCTTTTGATCTTTTCAGGTGGTTATTTAACCTGTGACTACTGACTGGTGCCACCGACTGCAGGCTGTCAAGCTAGGGGAAAATATGTAGCATGCTTTGGAGCAGCTTAACTAAGGCTCTTATCTAAAGAACTAGCTGGTGGCTCAGAAGTTATATTTCTATTGTTTTCAGAGGTAGAAAATATAAATTTTTCAGGATGACAATTAAGTGTTCTTACTATTCCAGGGCAAAATGGCAGCACTGCAGAAGTTTTGTCTCAAATGGAATAATTTTCAGAATAGTGTGACATCAGTTTTTGAGAATCTCAGACAAGATGAAGAGCTTGTTGATATAACTTTGTGCTGTGAGGGCCAGAAAATTAAGGCTCATAGGATGATGCTTTCAGCATGTAGTCCATACTTCAGGGATCTTTTGAAGGTGAGTGTTGCTAATGCCAGAACAGGTTCATTGTTTGCAGTCTGTTGTGCTTGTCTATCTGACCGATGTCCGGATGTATCTGCAACTTTCTGGAAACCAACATAAGGCCTCTGACTCTGACTGTGAAAGATTCATGTGCTGGTTGAGCCATACCTAGCTAAAAACCAGTTTTTGTGTAAATAGATCATAGTTGTCACTCCTATTTAATGATAACAGATAATTAATTCAGCAGTTATGTTTACCTATGTCTCCACTCTTCAAAATCCTTTAACCTACTTATGTTCTTTTGGCAGGAAAACCCGTGTCAGCACCCAGTGTTTTTCCTGAAGGACACGTCCTATCCGGACCTGGCAGCTGTGGTGGAGTTTGTGTACAAGGGAGAGGTCAATGTGCTGCAGAGCCAGCTCGGCAGCTTCCTCAAGACTGCAGAGATGCTGCAGGTCAAGGGACTCTCAGGAGATGATGACGATGATGGGGTAAGTCTGTTGTTTCCTTTCCTGCTAAATTACCGAAGTATTCTTACAAAGTCATTTTATTGGACACAGCCTTCTTTTAGCCCTCGCTAAACATGGAACATATTTGACATTTTTGCTTCACACTTAAATTATCTATGTAGTGTGTCAATTCTTGAATACCTATCCCTAAAAATATGTTGGTACAGAGCCCGTTATTGGTGCGGGATTGCAGTGACAGTTCTCTGACAGCCCTGACGGGTGTTCCAGCCGGGCCGGCCGACGCCCACTGCCGTGGCCGCCTCGCCAGCGGAGCCGCGGGGCATCGAGCCGCGGCCGCGCCCGGCCAGCTCGCCGCTACGCTCCCGGGTCCGCGAGCCGCCCGACTGCCGGCCCAGCTCGCCGCGCTCCAAGCGGCGCCGGCTGTCGGGCAGCGACAGCCGGGTCGGCTCCCAGTCCCCGCTGCCGCCCGTCTCCTCCGCTCCGCCGCCGCTGCCGGCTGCGCCCCTGCCTCCCGCCACCATCGACCTGGAGCCCCCGCCGGCCGCCGCCGCCCTGGAGACGCCACTGGACGCCCGGCCGGTGGCGCACCAGCCGCCGCCGCCGCCGCCGCCACCTCTGGCGCCGCACCACAGCGCGCAGCCGCACGGCGACGACGGCTACAACATCAAGGTGGAGAAGGTGGACATCCCGGACGGCGACGACGACGCCAGTCTGGAGACGGCGCTGGGCCAGGTGTCCAACATGGAGGCGTCGCAGTTCGAGGGCTCCGACCACTCTGCCAGCTCACACGACATGGCCGGCCTGCTCAGTCGACTGTCGGAACAAGGTGCGGGACGGGTGGGCCGCGGCGCGTTACAGCCAATTTTCCCTTCCAAACCCTAGCTCAGCGTGAATATCGTATACATTGGTCTGATTCCACCCAAAGAATGGCCGTTAATGTTAAACTTTAACTTTTTATACGATAGGTCTACTCAAGGCCGTATAAGAGAGGTAGAATCATCCCGTGATTTCCAATGGACCGGTCGCTAAGCGTTAGCGTGACGTCACTGGTGGAAACCGGGCGGCGCCCGGCTCCAAGCTGTACGTCGGGTACATTTGGCACTGTATAGTTGTTATTACTGAACGTAACGACAACTAATGACTCTTGATAACTTTTTACTCACCTAAAGCTGATTTCCTTGCCGGTACATTGCCGACCCGAGCCCCAGGGTTGACAATCATGGGATATGGGTCGGATGGGCGACCTCGCGACGGGAGAAGGAACGAATGCAATTGTTGTGTCCCGCACCGCCGATTGCATTCTCTATCTGCACCCGGGGGGAGCAGGGGGCACGTGCCCCCATCGGATCAGGGGGCCTCTCGGGCCTGAGGGGCCTTGCGACGCCAATTGGCGGCTGAGGGTCCACGCTGGCATCGTTCGACTCAGAAGGGCCCCACAGGGCTCGGAAGAACACCTATCGAAGAGCCACACTTCCATAAGAGCCCCACACCGGCTTTTTAGTGTCCCTTGTCGGCCTTTGAGGGCCCCTTGCCGGCTTCTCAGGGCCTATTGGCGACCTCTGAGGGCTAATTGCCGGCCTCTGAGGGCCCTTACTAAACACCTACAGGTCACTCCGTTTTGGCAGTTTTTGGCGTGTTTGAGGACGTAAAGGACAGGAGCCGCCGCCCGGCACCGGGCAGGCGGCGCCGAGGGCAGGCCTCAAATGGCCAAATGGATGACATGCATCGCTGGGAGGTAAACACGGGAGTTAGCGCTAAGGCCAGGAACGGTTCGTTATCGCACAAAGATAACTGAAGTTCTGGCCAGCGGGAAACGGACGGGAGACCGGCGCAGCGACCATCGTGGGTTGGATGAGGGCTGGGACGGGACGGGAGAGGAGAACGGGGCGGTAAAGTACACACGGCCGGGCCGCCGGCAGTGATAACACCCTAGAGTGACAAACAGGGGAGGCGGGCCGACCGCGGTGCCGCACAGACAGTCACTCGCCGCGCGGGGGCGAGAGGAGACGACGCTGTGCGGTGAGGCGACCCGTCCCCATCCCCATCATGCCACCTAACCTCGTCTCACTTTCCTTTCCTCGCCCTTTACCGTCTGCCCTCGGGCGTGTTTGAGGACGTAACTGGACAGGAGCCGCCGCCCGGCACCGGGCAGGCCATTTAACGGCCTATCAGGGACCAGCAGCTCTAAGGGTTCCACACACGCCTGCGATCAGCGATGACCCCCTAAACCAATGGCTGAAGGCCCCACAACGGTGCCTATGAGGGCCCTCACCGGCGGCTGTGAAGGCCCCACACCGGTGCCTAGCTGAGAGCCACACACTGCCACCTCTGAGTGCAACCGGCACCCCTGAATGAGGTCCCGAAGCCAGTGCTTCTTAAGGCCATATATCGGCGGCTCTGGGGCTCAACGCCGGAGCCGCATCGGACGGCCACTCACCGGTGACTTTTAAGGGCCCACACCGACGACTCTGAGGGCCCCACTGGCGTTTGAGTGTACCTTGCTGATCTCTAAGGACTCCACAGGGCTTCCGAAGGCACCGCAGACCTCTTGAGAACCCCTTGTCGGCAGGGGCGGATCCAAGGGGGGGGGGTCACATGGGTCATGGCCCCCCCCCCCCTTGAGGCCCGGGGGCCCAAAGACCTTCCAGGGGCACCACCGGCCTATCAGGGGTATCACAGTCCTGACAGGGGCACCACAGGACCGCCAGGGGCACCACAGGCCTAGCAGGGACACCACGGGCCTGGTGCCCCTGGGCTCTGACAGGACTGTAACGCCCCTGACAAGCCTGAAGTGTCCCCGGCAGGCACGTGGTGCCCCTGACAGGCCTGAGGCGCTCCTGCAAGGCCGGTGGTGCCCCTGGCAGGCCTGTGGTGTCCATGGCAGGCCTGTGGTGCCCTTGCTAGGCCTCTGGTGCCCCTGACAGGCTTGTAATGCCCCTGGAAGGACTGTGGTGCCCCTGGGCCCTGACAAGCCTGAGGTGCCCCTGACAGGCCAGAGGTGCCCTTGCTAGGCCTGTGGTGCCCCTGACAGGCCTCTGGTGCCCCTGACAGGCTTGCGGTGCCCTTGGAAGGACTGTGGTGTCCCTGGGCCCTGACAAGCCTGAGGTGCCCCTGACAAGCCTGAGGTGCCCCTGACAGGCCCGTGGTGCCCTTGTTAGGCCTGTGGTGCCCCTGGCAGGCCTCTGGTGCCCTTGCTAGGCCGCTGGTGCCCCTGGCAGGCCTCTGGTGCCCCTGCGCCCGGAGAGGACTGGTGCCCCTAAAAAGTCTGAAGTGCCCCTCGGCAGGCCCGTCGTGCCCCTGACAGGCCCAAGGTGCCCCTGCGAGGCCGGTGGTGCCCCTGGCAGGCCTCTGGTGCCCCTGGTAGGTCTGTGGTGCCCCTGGCAGGTCTGTGGCGCCCCTGGCAGACCTGTGTTGACTGGTGCCCCTGCTAGGTCGCTGGTGCCCCTCACAGACCTGTGGTGCCCCTGGGCCTTGGCAAGCCTGAGATGCCTGGCTATGACAGGCTCGTGGTGCCCCTGATAGACCAGTGGTGCCCTTGCTAGGCCTGTAGTGCCCCTGGCAGGCCTCTGGTGCCCCTGCTACCCCTGCGCCCTGAGAGGACTATGGTGCCCCTGAAAAGCCTGAAGTGCCTCTCGACAGGCCCGTGGTGCCCCTGGGCCCTGACAGGCCCAAGTTACCCCTGCGAGGTCGGTGGTGCTCCTGGCAGGCCTCTGGTGCCCCTGGCAGGTCTGTGGTGCCCCTGGCAGGCCTGTGTTGACTGGTGCCCCTGATAGGCCGCTGGTGCCCCTCACAGGCCTGCGGTGCCCCTGGAAGGACTGTGGTGCCCCTGCCCCTAGGGGTGCTCATGGGCCCAACAGGCCCGTTGTGCCCCTGACAGGCCTGTCGTGTATACTTGCTAGACCTGTGGTGCCCCTGCTTCCTGGTAGGCCTGTGGTGCCCCTGGCGGGCCTGTGGCGCCCCTACAAGGCCGTAGGTGCCCCTGACAGGTTTGTGGTGTCCCTGGAAGAACTTTGGTGCCCCTGACAAGCCTGAAGTGTCAAGGATAGACCCTTTAGACGCCAGGGGCAAGTTCGTCGGACTGACAACGATTTGCTTACCTGATAACGTTCCTGATAAGTACTCATTACTCAGCGTCCACAACATATATACACATAGCACATTCATATATACTTGCTTACAATTGGTAAATGTGGTTGTGGCTAAGAGGTAAGATACTGACTAAAAATAAAAAATAAAAATAAAAAACTGAAAATGGGGGCACCACCAAAATGAAGTGGACGAAATCCGTTGAGTTTTTAATTTTGGGTATAGGTAGGGGCACCACTTCGATTCATGACCCTCCCCTTGGAGTTTTCCTGGATCCGCCCCTGCTTGTCGGTCTTTGAGAGCCCCTGTCGGCCTGTAAAGGGTTCGAGCCAGCAGCTCTAAGGGTCCCACAGCCGACTGTGACAACCCCACACTGCAGTGTCTCTGAGGGCCCACAATGGCATCTGTGATGACCCTCACCGGCGCCTCTGAGGGCCCACAGCGGCACCTCTGGGGGCCCCGCACTAATGCCTCTGAGAGCCTCACACCGGTACTTGTGAGTGCCTCCAAAGGCTTCATAACCGGCGGCCCTGAGGGCCCTACACGGGTGATTTTGAGGGGCTTACCGAAGGCACCACACAATCCCTTAGTCTCGCTGAGCTTCTATCCCAATCCCATACCGGCTTCTATCCCAATTCCGGCTCAACTAATTAGCAGCCCCCCCCCCCCCTCCATGGATCAGCAGCGCCGCGCCGGTACCGGGGGCCAGCGCCATCGGGGCGGCAGTCGGCCACGCGCACTCAATGGTTAGCGCTTAGCACCGGCGGCTAGCGCACACTCGGTGTGTTATCGGCCGTGAGCCGCTCCAAAACGGCTGCAGTAACTAGTCGATATAGGTAGTAAGCAGATGCAGAGATGCAGGTGGATTGATGACCGACAAGTTTTTGTGTTTTACGAGGGTGAAGGGTCGAAGTCGGCTGCTAAGTGGTGAGCGAATTTTATCAGATGCCGGTTCACCATGACCTTTGTCCGGGTCCTCGTACCCCGGCGCACTCTTGGAGAGCCGAATCACAGCAAAAATCCATCCACCACTGTATCTATACGGCTTACGCTTTTCTGAAAACGTCTGCGTTTGGCCTTCTACGGGCCCGGCCGGCCGGCCCCGATTGGCGGTCCTCCAGTGACGTCACTGGTAGTGTTAAGCTGATTGGCGAATAATACACGGGCGGTCCCGGGATGACAGCGCCCTGGGTCTACTTAGTTGAATGTTCCGTCCTTCACACTATATATGTCCAACTGCGCCGGTGTGTGTATGACCGGGTTCCCTGTGTCCTCAGGCGGCAGCGGTGACCTGTCTGTCGGCGGCGCGGCGGGTACCTCAGAAGACGGCTCGTCACAAGGTAGGTGCCGCTTCTGAACCGGCCTGGGTGCCGCCACACACACAGACGCACAACGAACGCCACACGCCACTACATTGACATCGGGGCGGCGCCTGCTGCCGGGAAGACTGCTGCTGCTAGCTCGGCGGCGTCGCATGATGTCACTGGCCAGCCGTACGATGGGCTAAACTGGGCTGTAATTTTGTAAAGTCCTTCATCTTTTATCAAATGCTTTCACGTCCGTTTGAGAATGGATCATTGTTTGTTCCATCATAGTCGGCCTCTTGTGTATACAGCACAGCTATATCAAAGTTCGTAGTCCAAAGCCATGAACTCAAAGTAATTCTGTTTTTGTTTTTAGTTGCATAAATTTAGGACCATGCTTTGCAGTTGATTTATTCGGAACTGACTTATCTACGCAGAATTTCCAATTCATCACTTATGCCTTGTCATTTTAGTCGCTGCCCCATACGGGATGCCCAAGCATCAAATGCTTTTTATATTGGGTCATTTGCTATCACCGCGAGCGACTAAGGAATATGTCACTCGCAGAGTTGATGAAGTTTGTCCTGACTAAGAGCAGTAACGTTCACCTATGTTCATTCATTGTTTTTTTTCCGCGATATTGAGCAGTGGCAGCAGCAGTCGTCCCGTTTTTTTCTAACCTTGTGCGTGAAAACACCACCAAAATTTGGTATCAGATTCTGAATTATTCATTGTTTGTCTGCTCTCCCTCTCTTTCTTTTATATTCCTTTTCTCCTCGTCTTTCTCTTTATTTTTTATCTCATTTATTTTGGCACGTACCTCAAAATTGTGTCCTCTGTTTTTCCCTTTGCCCTTTGCTTTTGTATTCAGTTATCTTTTTCTTACTTTTCTCTTATTCGTATTGACATATTCCATGTTCCGTAGGGCAGACAGCAAATTATTAAGACATGGCGGGCTGGGACACTTGGGACCCACCACCAGGCCATAGACAAGGGTACACCATCCCACACTGGCGGCACCGGGCTCTCTCGTGTTTCTGCTGTGGCAGCGTGCTGTTGATGTTGTTGGTATTCTCGTACCCCCTGCCTAGTCGCCTGCTCACTGTGATCACATGATAACGTAACGGTAAACGCTTCCCAGCTAACGTAACGGTAACTGACCAGTGTGCCCGAGCGTTTGTACCGTGCCGTCACTGCCACCGCCGCCGCCGCCGCCGCCGCCGGTCCGGCCCGCCGCTCAGCTGGGCCGCGCTGTCCGTCCTTTGCGCCTCGGCCGCTGCTGTCCGCTCAAACCGTCCCAGTCCGCGCGCGGCCGCTCCGGCCCGGTGCCGCCTCCCCGGGCGCGCCCGGCTCCCCCGGCCGACTGCGCCGCTCCTCGTGTTGCCGTTCGTAGATCCGGCGGGCCGTCCCGGGCCGCCCCGTGCTGTACGAGAATACCATCAACAGTGTCCGTGTGCAGTGCGTGCTGTGAGAGTGGGTCGGACGGGCTGCGCCGAGCAACGGCGGCGATTCCGGCGTCCCGCCCGGCCCGGCGAGGCTCTGGCGTCCCGCCGGATCGCTACCAGGACGTCTGTGGGCCGCAACAAGCTTTTGTTCCATGGCCACGAACGTCCGTCATATCAGTTATGGTCAGATATCTCCATCCATGCTTACCTACCGCACTCAACAGCAACTCTGTGTGTGGTGGCTGTATGGAGTGGCTGGCTGGGCAGCTCTATGGATTCTTCCGTACACTACAGCGGATAGACAAAAGCTGAAAGTTCGTAGGCCGGTCCGCACAACGGGGCTCCGTCTGGGTGATGAGGGGAGTTATGGGAAAGTGCTAAATGGCCCAACGACAGCTGAATACTGACAGATGGAACGGAAACAATGCGAGGAGAGGAGGGGTATGGAGGGGGTCCGGGAGGCGGCTGGAGAGGGTAGTCTCGGACACTTGGTTGGAAAGCGGGTGGGGTCCCGTGACGTTTTTGGGTGTACCACAGTACAATCTTTCCCGCATTTTGGTTAGATGGTCTGAACTGGGTGAGTGGGGTATGAGTCTGAGCTGGACTGGTAAAATAAACGATATTTTTATGAGGGATTCGCCAATAAGTGCACTTATTAGTTATTGGTGATTTAGCAATAATATGGCTAATGCCGTAGAAGAAAGGTGCCATTGTTGAAGGGCGAACGGGCCTCGGTTGGGAATATTTTCTATATTGACAATCATTGGTGTATGCACTATGACATCCATCACTTTTTTAAACAAACTTCGTGCTCAGAAAAAAAAGCAAAGAACAAAGAATTGAAGCTACTTCGACACAATGAAGGGATAGCTATTTTGAGTCGGCTGGCCGGATGACACTCTCTGATATGGTTTGACCGTGATAGAGCAGTGGAACACAAGACGTACCGCTCGTCTGAAGGACTGGGGCTCCGGATGATTCCAGCCCTCCGCTTCCACGGGTCTCGGAAGGACGGGCGACCGATCGGGTCGGCTGAAGAGCCCCCAGTTTTCTGCTCTCCGCTGATTCTGGGAGAAAAGGCCGCTGATGGAAAGAAGAGTCGGTGAATCTGTCGTAATAAACGTGCTACGAATGTTGTGCTTATCATTGACTGGTTAATTTATTCTGGGATTAGATGGCAGATGCTAACCTCTTACAAGCATGCGCAGTCTTCTTGCTGCTGCCCAAGCATCGTCTTATTTAAAACCTAATCATGAAAAAGATACAGACCTAAAGAAAGCAGAATACATAATTATTAAACATCTTTTGTAAGAGCTCGTGAATTATCTTATCCTATGAAAGACTGCGCTCGGCCACAGCCTTTAAAATCCACATATTTTACATCGACGCTTATTGGATTGTCCGGCGCCGGACTTGTGACGCAGCGCTGCACTGCCCAGATCCTTTTTTCCTCCTGGGCCGCCGTGATTCTCCCTCCTCGCTCTCTTCTGCCTCATCCCTCTGCCTTCCTGGCTGTCGCCGTTGGTGCACCTGACTCGCTCGGCGGTCCGTTCCGGCGGCGAGGGCCGGTCTCGGAGGGGCGGCGCTCGGCGGCGGCGGCGGACGGACCGGCTCTCACGCGGCGCCGCCCGCTCTGTTTGCAGCCGGAGACGCCCGGTGTGACCTCTGCGAACGGGAGTTTGTCAGTACGGCCGCGCGCCGCCAGCACGTGGCGTCGGCGCGCTGCTTCGTCTGCGGCCAGGTGGCGTGCGGCCGCGGCCTGCAGGGCCACCTGCTAGCGCAGCACCGGCTCATCTTCCCGGCCAAGTGGTGCCCGGCCTAGTGGGACGGAGCGGGCAGACCGGCGGCGGCGGCGGTGGCGGTGGCGGTGCTGACCCCGTCTGCCGATTGATCCGACTGCTCGCCCTGATGGTGCGACGGAAGGCACACGGCTCGGTGGAGGCGCGCCAAGCGCTAAATTTTACGGAGACGACCGCGGCAGACGGACAAAAGCCATAGTTTATAGCTAGACGGTGACAGGAGCGGCTTGTAGTACTAGATTTAGATGTTACGTTTGCTTCCTACTTAGCAGCATTCTCGGAGCGATTTTTCGGTAGTTTCGGTGTGCGTCCCCATTGTTCGACTGACTGCTTACGAGCAGTAACCCGTTTGATCTGAACCGACGGGGCGCCTATCCGTGTCCCTGTGCGTGTGTGTCTGTGTGTGAGTGTGTGGCGGTCGCGCCGGCCTCTGTACCGCCCCTGTGGTGTTACAGGGCCCTTCACGTGCCCGCTGTGCGGTGGCGTGTACCGCCACGTGGACTCGTTCCGCTGCCACCTGCACGTGCACGCCGGAAAGACGCAGTGCCACCTGTGTCAGCGCGTGTTCAGCCGGCGCACCCGGCTCAACGCCCACCTGTCGTCCGAGCACGGTCTGGAGAGCGCGTACTCGCCGCGCGTCTCCAAGGAGCCCTGAGCCGGCGGCGCGGCGGTGTGACCTCGGCGGCGCGGCGGTAACGGCAGCCCGTCTGATGTGCCGGCGCTGTTTGCAGTGTACCGGTGTGAGCTGTGCGGTGCCACGTACCGGCACATCGACTCCTACCGCTGCCACATCTCCATGCACGCCGGCAAGACGCGCTGCCACCTGTGCGGTCGGGTGTTCAGCCGGCGCGCCTACCTGAACCAGCACCTGCGCGCCGTCCACCAGGTGGAGCCGCCGGACGAGCGGCGCCGCGGACCCGCACGGGTCCTGTAGCGGCTCCGCGCTCCTTGTAGTGGCGCCCCTGTCTCCTGTAGCGGCGCCCCGGCTCGTACATTCGCGCCCCTAGCTGTGCGGTGGCGCCCTGGTCCGTGCAGTGACGCCCCTATCTCCGGTAGCGGCGCCCCTTCCCCGTGAACTGATACATTGCTCTGTGTGGCGGCGCGGCTTCGTGTCCTGTGTGCATGCTGAATGTTTGTGACGCCCTCTGTATGTAGCTCTGTCTCTTTAGTCGCTCAATAAACGGGAGACGGTATAGAAGTGTTTTGATGGGTGCGCTGGGGGGGGGGGGAGGGGAGGAAGCGAGCTATGACTATGGCATCAGCTATGGCTACCTTGAGGGGATTCTTTCATTGATATTCTCTCGGTATCTTGCCGAAGTGGGATGGCCAAGCTGGAGAGAAATTAACGTCTTGCTATCGGTAGAATCAAAGTGCGAAGAACGATGCTCGATAGTCTGTTCGCTGTGGAGCTCCGTTGGTGCATTCCACCTGCTCTAGCCATATTGTTACTGGAACTGAATGCTGATTGCATCCTAATTGGAGCTATTAATCGGGGCTGGCACGGCTGTTTTTGTTGGGCGACCGTAGACCCGTAGATCTCCGTCTCCGTCTGCTCTTTGTGCTGGTTCAGATCTGGACTCTGCGCTGAAAACATCGATGGGGCACTGCCCTGTTGTGACGGTCCTCGGATGTTTGACCAGGCTCGGTGGAACGGACCCGGGCCGCTGGCTCTCTGGGGCGGCCAGCATTCAGTGCCGGTCTTCGATCTTCGCCCGTCTTCGATCTCTCCGCACATCTTTTCTGGTCTATTCGGCGATCTCCGCACAACATGCTGAAAGAACTGATCGATAGA